CTGCCCAGCCAGCAGCGAACCCAGGCGTCTGAGTCTAGCCTCTGCCCTGCTAGACCCTCCCCACCAGGAGAGGACTCAGGTGGCGCTGCTAGCAACTTCCCCCACAGCTTCAGGACCCAGGCGTCCGGCCCCGCCCCCTTCTCTAGCCCCGCCCAGCCACCCCCCCGTCATGTGCTCCCTCCGCGAGGAAGTGGAAGTGGGGGTGTTAGACGAGACCGGAGGAGCTGGGGCTTCGCGGATACGCGAGATAGGTAAGACCTCGCTTCGCCAGGGGGCCCGGACACCTGGATTCCTTGGGACGGGGGTGCTCGGGCACCTGGGTTCGCTGAGGGGGCCCCAGAAGCTTGGGTTCTCTCTGGGGGGACGGGCAGCAGCCTGGGTACGGGGCAAGCCCTGTAGGGTGCCAGGAGCCGGGACCCCCGCGCTGAGATGCTGCCACTTCTGGGGTGGAACCAGGATGTCCTCACTTTCGTGGGATAGTGGTGGCTGGGGCAGCCAGGTCTGGGCCTCCTCTCCACCACTCCCTACAGAAATGAGGAAGTCCGGGCTCCCTGCTTCCACACCCCAGAGCTCAGGAGAGAACCCAGGCGTCCAGGCTCCCAGCTCCCCCTATTGCCCCCCTGGAGCTGGGGAGGGAACCCAGGTGTTCCGGCTAGGGTGTCACTGTAATGCTGTCTCCGCAGGTCTGTGTCCCACCCCCACTATGCTGCCCCTCCTGTTCATGGCCTTGTCCCTGACCCCTGCTGCGGCGGGGGGCATCTCCTGTTATGATGACAATGGGCAGCCTGTGGATTGGTGAGTGCCACCACCCCAAAAAACTCAGGTGTCTGGATTCCCCCTCCAGAACTAACCCATCTCCCTCCCAAAGAATGCAGGCGTCTGGGCTCCCCCACCCCCACAACTTCAACCACAAACCCATCTTTCCCAGAGAACCCAGGAGTTTGGTCTCCCCACTCAAGTGACCCACAAGCCTCCATCAGAGAACACAGGTGTCCAGACTCCAACCCTGCCCACATAGCCCTGTAGCCATAACCCCCCATGTTTTAGCTGGGGAGAAGGGGCTTTCTCCCATCAATTGTCCCTTCCCTTTCCCAAATGCCCCACCCCCAAAGCTGCCCCCAGGCATGGGCAGGGGGAGCCTGGCCATTGTCCTTGGGGTTAACTGGCCCCTGCCCCCTCCCCACCCCAGGTTCGTGGCCTACAAGCTGCCGCACCATTCCCCAGGCCAGGGGCTGCGTTACCACTACCTGGATGCCCGCAGAGGGGACTGGGTGTCTGGCCACGCCCTCATCAACAGCTCCCAGGGCGCTCTGGGCACCACCCTGCGCCAACTATACCAGGCTGCAACCACTGTGAGTGTGGGGTTGGGGTTCAGGGGTGAATAATGGGGCTCAGAGCGTACCAGGGCCAGGAGGATGAGTGCCTAGAGGTCAGAGGACATAGGTGGGGGGCAGGGGTCATGGGGGACAAGAGGTGCAGGGGGAGTGCCTAGAAGTCAGGGATCACAAGGATCAGAGGGCATGGGGATGAGTGCACAAGTGGGGGTCACTGGGGACAGGGGACAGAGATGCATGCATAGATGGGGGTCAGGAGTCATTGGGGGTCAGGGGACATTGGGGTGAGTGCATAGGTGGGGTCAGGGGTCACTGGTGTCGGGGTACAGTTAAGTGCACAGGTATAACTGCATAGGGCAGGGCAAGGGTTGGTGAGTGCACGGGGTCAATGCCAGGGGCATGGTGGGGGGGAAATCTGGGCTTGGGGGAGCATTGGAGGCAGCTCCCCCCACTTCCCCCACAACCCAGCAGGGTGACGCCGTGGCCTACGTGCTGTACAACGACCAGCCCCCCCGGGCCAACACCAGCATTAGCACCCGCTTTGCTGCCTCCCACGGCCACACCAAGGGTATGCCTGGACACTTGGGTTCTCCACCCTGTGCTTGCAGGGGGAGGGGGAAGCAGGGGAGGTTCTATCCTGTTCTGGGTGGGTGACATCTGGGTCCCATCTTGGCTCTTGGTGGGGGGCTGGGAGAGAAGGGCATAGAGCCCAGACACCTGGGTCCCATCTTAGCTCTGGGGGGTGGGGTGGCCTGGGCACCTGGGTCCCACACCAGCTGTGACTGTGTGGCAGGTGTGGTGCTGCTGGATGGGACACAGGGTCTGTGGCTGGTGCACAGCGCCCCGCACTTCCCACCGCCCACGGCCACCACCTTCGCCTGGCCCCCAACTGCCTCCCGCTTTGGCCAGACCTTCCTGTGTATCACCTTCCCCTACGCCAGCTTCCAGGACATTGGTACGTACCCCCCCCCCGGGACACCTGGGTTCTCTGCAGGGACTGGGGCCTAAGAGCAGGAGGGGTTGGAAGCCTGGACCCCAGGGTTCTCTATGGGGGTGAGCAGGGTTGAGAGCCTGGACACCTGGGTTCCCTATGGAGGCTGAAGAGTGAGAACAAGGGGAGGCTGGGAGCCCAGCCACCTGGGTTCTGTACAGGGGCTGGAAGCCTGGACTCATGGGCTCTTTCCCAGCTCTAGGCGGGGAAGTGGGGTCTCAAGGGGAGAGGTGGGAGCTGGGACACCTGGGTTCTCTGGGGGATGAGAGCAGGGGGTGCTGGGAGCCCAGACACTTGGGTTCTCTCCTGTGCTGGGAGGGGTGGGAAGGCTGGGCTGAGCTGAGCTGAGCCAGTGCATTTGTCGCACCCCAGGCCGAAGCCCTGATGCCCACCCCCCCA